TCAACCTGTGGAACTCCATGCCTGAGGAGGTTGTGAAGGCTAGGACTATAACAGGGTTTAAAAGAGAACTAGATAAATTCATGGAGGTTAAGTCTATTAATGGCTATTAGCCAGTTTGGGTAAGGAATGGTGTCCCTAACCTCTGTTTGTCAGAGGGTGGAGATGGATGGCCGGAAAGAGATAGCTTGATCATTACCTGGTCTGTTCACTCCCTCCAGGGCACCTGGCATTGGCCACTGTCAGCAGACAGGATACTGGGCTGGTTGGACCTTTGGTCTGACCCAGTATGGCCATTCTTATGTTCTTATGATATTGCCCTTATCGATCACAGCAGAGAACTGACTGTAAAGCTGTGTTTGAGGAAACAAGCTATCTGTTGGAGGCCAGGTCAACACTAAAGGGGAAGGTCAAATTAAGATATGCAATTCCAGCTACATTAATTATATAGCTGGAGTAAATGGACCTTGAGTCAAGTTTCCCTGCCATCCCCACAACAGGAAGCCAATGGGAGCAAATGCTCCCGGCGGCTTCTCTTACTCCTCACAGGAGCAGGAGTACCAGCAGCCGATGGGGCTACCCTCTGAGTTTGATTTAGCTGGTCTTTACTAGACCTGCTAAATTGAACTCCGGAAAATTAATTGTGGCTGTGTCAATCTTCCAAAGAGTGAAGACATGGCGTGAGTAGTGGTGTGGTCATCCTAATCATTGACATTATTAATTTTCCACCAGGGATCAGGATTTTTTTTAAAGACATAGGGTATGTCTACACTACCCTCCTAGTTCGAACTAGGAGGGTAGTGTAGACATACCCTGACAGATTACTCACTATGCATAATAAAGATCAGTGTTGGTATTAGTCTCCAAAAATGTATTATGAGAGGAACAGTGAAAATGGTTTTTGGACTTCAGCATCTGAGCCACTGCAAAGGTATCAGCAGAAACAACTCGAGGGCTTCATAGTCTGAGGTTACTTTCAATATCAGGCCCTCCATTTAGGAGCTCTTCCGCTCTTACCGCCACACCTCCTCCCTGCCCCTCATCAAACAGCAGCATCCTGTACTTGGACGTGATCCACAGTTACCCTTCAAACCCATTCAATTTCAACCCTGTACTTCAGCCTCACTCTCTCAATCACTCCGACATGCTTCCCCTCCCCAGCTGTCTCCCGTTCATCTTAAATTTAACACAATAAAATAAATGGAACACCTTTCCTCTCAAGCTCTTCCTGCATTTTCCTGAGCTTGCTGAAACATCACCCCCCTTCTCTGTCAGACCATTAACTTGTAAGTTGCCTTTGATTCTTCTCTCTCTCATGCCCCCACATCCAACTGTGTTTTCCTCTCTGCTGTTTCTAAAATCTGACTTTTTACATCTGGTGCACCCTGTGCAAATTCTGGTCTCTCCTCATAATCTCAAAATGTTGACTCCTGTAACTTCCTTTTTGCTGGCTTCCTAATCCCTAAAAAGTGACAGGACAGTTGGGCCCCTTGCCACAGTGTCTAACCAGCTGTTAGTCCCATCAGAGTATCAGCTGGCTGTCTGGTGTACAGCCATGCACAGCCAAGGAGACGGAAGGGCGGCTGCTGAAGATGGCCCAGCTGTGCTGAGTGGCAAAATGCCATGGGCCTGCCCCTCGCATGCGTCACACCACACAGAGGCACCGCCCCCATTGGCATCCTCCTTTTGAGACAGACTTTCACCAGACAAAACCACGTCTGGTTTTCATCACTACCAAACAGGGGCAGAACTTTACAAAACGAAGACTGTCCCACTGTAAACCAGATAAATAGCCTCCCCACCCAAGAACAAGGGCAAACTTCACTAGTGCATTGCAGTGAGAGAGCATCTGGGGATTAGAGCAAAGGAACGGGCCTCAGAAAACATGTTTTCTAGTGCTACTTCTTCCACCATCTTGCTGTATGACCTCAAGCAAATGGCTTAGCCTCTTTACATTTGTAAAGTACTTTGAGATCCTCAAGAGAAAGGTGCTGTAAACATACATGTTATATTTGTGTTCTTTACTCTTTTCAGCCACATACATGCCTTAAAATCTCACAGCACATTTTGCACGAGCTGGATCATGTTAAACGCAGAGTCCTGGTCATATTCCATATTGGATATTGTTATTGTGCCTCTCTGAGGACTCATGGGGAAGTGAAAATTCTTCACATTTCAACTTGGCCTCCTCTACATTCTTAAGAGCATTTGAGTTGTCATAATGGGTCCAGTGCATCCATCTAGTCTTGTATCTTGTCCCCTACAGTGACGATTGCCCACTGCTTCAGAGGACAAAATCCTGCAGTAGGAGATGAGAGGAGGGGAAGTTTATTCTTGATTCCCAACATCTGACTGTTTATACTCTGAAGTATATTTTTTTATATTCCTGTTGTCCATAAAAATGCCTAACCCCCTTTCTGAAACCCTCTTAGCTCTTGCCCTTATGGTACCTTGTGGTGATGAGTTCCAGTGGTTAACTGCACATTATGTGGAAAAGTATTTCCTTGTATCAGGTTTGACCTGTCAATTTCCTTGAATGTCATCTTGCTCTTGGGAGCATCAATTTAACTGACTTACTTTCTCTAGCCCACTCATTATTTTCTTCTTGTCCTCTTTTATTTATCTCCTCCTTCCACGCTTAAACTATCTATACACTAATACAGAGACTTCCACTTAATTCATTCACCAGTTAATTTGATCCTCCATTAAATTTGATCCAAATCCTTTTAGAAAAATAAAACAACTTCTACCCACTATTTTGATCACTGCAGGCTGGTATTATAGAACTGAACAATGTAACTAATGCCTTCAGGAAGTGGCTGTCTAATTAATATGGTGTGGGCACAGCTCTTCATGAAAAGAGATTTTAAGAGCTGAAAGAAGATCAAGATGAGAAGAGACAGTAGCTAGAAACAATAAGGAAGACAGTGTGACTGACCATATAAGCATTGCCACATGCTATGTCCCCTGAAGGTCAGATGGATAAGGATATTAGCCAGTAGGAATGCAGCTGACTAAATAAGAAGGAAGACAGCATGAACCAGCTAGCACTTAGGCAAATGTGATAGCACCAGCTCTGACCCAGCATTGACAGTACATCTGGGATTGTGCGTCAGTGGTTCCCAACCTTTCGGGGCTGCCGGGCGCTCGGGGGCGGGGCCACCCACGCGCCGCACTCCCAGGGACGGGGCCACCCACATGCCGCGTGCCCGGGGCCAGCATCGCACATGTGCTGTGCGCCCAGGGCAGGGGCCACCCATGTGCCAGATGCCTGGAGCCAGCGCCGCACGCCCGGGGCAGGGGCCGCCCATGTGATGTGCGCCCGAGGCAGGGACCGCCCATGCACCGCACGCCCAGCGTTGAGGACCACTGTGCTAGATGTTCTCAAGTGTTTTCAAAGCATGACCACATCTTTGAACCCACTGGTTTGTGGACACCACCCTTCCCATTCAATTGGGTGGGGCACATGCTCTTCTATTCATAAGCATGCAGACCACCTTCTGTCCCACTACCCACCCTGAGTAACACCCTTGTGGTGACTAGAGCAATTGCTGACATGAAAAAGCAACAGCAGAAAGTACTGATACATTCTTGTCTTCTTTCAATGCACTTGGAAACGAGGAAGAACCAGCTCTATGCTCACTATGGCTTGGGAATAAGTACACATCAGTGGCTTTTCTAATGGCACATCTACACTACATGGAAGATCGATGCTGCCGCAGTCAATCTTCCAGGGTTCGATTTAGCGGGTCTAGTATAGACCTACTAGATCAAACTCTGAGGGCATCCCCGTTGGCGCTGGTACTCATACTCCTCATGGGGGTAAGGGAAGCTGATGGGAGAAAGATGGTATGGAAACGCAATGTAAGATACATTGACTCCAGCAATGTAATTTATGGAGCTGGAGCTGCATATCTTACTTTTAACCTTCCCATGTAGTGTAGACCAGGTCTAAGAAGCCTTAAATTGGGCCTCCAAAATGGAAGCACTGAAAAATCACTTATCAGTCTCTTTGAAAATCTTGGCCTTCAACCATTATGGCTGTGAAGATAACCTCGACTACGAACCATGTGGCACCACTATTTTGATATCTGCCTGAGCCTGCATGCAGCCTGAAACAAGAGCTCCAAGAGCTGTGAACTCCTCTCTCTGAAACCTACTGAAACCTCTGAAACCTACTGAATCTAATGAATTTTTAAATGTTAATACTAAATATTACACCAACCAAACCAGGAGCAATTATAATCTGAACATTTCATCAGTGAGAGGAACTTGGGAGAGACTAACAATTATATCTACTAGGCTGGGCCCCCCCTCGGTTCTGGTGTGTGAAGGGAACGTGGGAAGTGTCTTTCTTCTTCTCATTGGGGGCCACGTCTGTGAGGGTTTGGGGGAGTTATTTGGTTTTTTGCTTCTCACTTCTGTGTGACCCCCAACTGATTTTTCTGTGAGTTAGTGGCCCACGACCCAAAAAAGATTCCCCACCCCTGAAAACAACCTATTTCCAGTTGCAGGGTACTATAGAAGTCTGCATGGCATCCCCCTGAGACCAAACACTTTCACCTCCCTCTCCTCAGAGCCCAGTTTTTGGCAGCCCAGCCCACACACTTCACCCTCATTTCTCCCCTTTTGCCATAGCAGTGTCTCCCATGGCCTCTCCCATCCCTAGGTGGATGAGGATCCATCCCATTCAGACTGGGTACGCTGCTCACTGCAAGCTGGAGAGATGGGCTCTGCAGAGTACAGCAGCCCCTTTTGGCAGCTAGCAGCTCTGCAGCCCCAGATCTACAGGGGAAATATGAAAATTCTGCACAGAACATTAATTCTGCATTGTGTGATGGTGCATAATTCCACCAGGAGTGCATAATAGAAACAGAATTGGGCACTTTATAAATTGCATTAAGACAAATAGGTCTCTCATCAGTAATAGAATCAGGCAGGGTGTAGCACATAGATGAGCTCTTCTGTCGCTCATAGCATGAACAAGAAAGTGCAATAATTACCTGACTGTGCTCCAGAAATGCAAAGAGCCACTGGAGCTTTGTCATCAAGGGTTGAGAATTGCTTTCGGTTAAATTCAGCACTGAATGCCTAAAACTTTAAAAGCAAATCAAAAACACAGACAGAGAAAATCAGCCATTGGGGAAACCCAATTTCTGTAACAGACAAACACAGAGCACTGTTGACAGAGGAGAAGAAAAGGAAACCTACTCTGAGGCCATGAAAAGAGCCTGAATGATGCTGTTCATGTAGCAGGTGTTACCCAGGTTAATTAACCCAATCTTCCCTGTGTCAGATTTGGAAGCTAGACGTGGGTAGAAACAGGCCAGCTCATTCTTCTGGGAGGTCCAAGCATTTTGTCCCAGTAAATGTTTAATTCGATCCTCATTTGGAATTGGAAGAGCCTTAAAAACAAGCAGAGATCTTCATCAAAATTCATTTTTATTTCCTGTGATGTAATAAAGAATTGCTAACAGGTACCAGTGGAATTCCTTGGCAAAGTTTCAGTGGGAAATTCATGACACTGGAAACTCACGGGGGGCAGTATCAACACCCCACTATGACTTGCTTAAGGGTCATATAACTAGGGGTGGCTAGAAGCAACAATTGTGATCAGGGCCCCACAAAGCTAGGCATTACACAGACACATGGTAAGAGATGGTCCCTCCCCCAAAGAGAGGGCCCAAATAAGACCCAGACTCAGAATTTGAAGCACCCTCTTCCCCCAAAGTGTGGAGAGTTTCAGGTTTTGGTTCGGATCCATCTCTAATGATGAGATGATTCCTCTGCTCTGAACAGCAAACTAAAGATAGTTTACATGTGATTAAGAGGACTAGACTAGAACAGCAGGCCTTACTTGAATTGCTTCCATAACCGGCTCATAGAGATCTGGAAATCCTGAAAACCGGAAGAACATACAGTGGATCAGCTCAGCCAGCTGTTCCAGGCAGCATGTGGCTGAGTTGGAGTCTTCCTTGTTCAGAGAGGTCACCAGTCTGGGAATGTGGGGAAGAAGCTAAAAAGGCAAAGTAAATTAATTTCCATAAGGCTCAGACTAGGTATGCATTTACACCACATATATAGATATGTGTGTGAAATTCACCCCATCCAGAGGGCCAGCACACAAGTCCTGTGCATCACATAAATCCCACTTTGGTTTTGACCTTGAATCTACTGAAGTCAACAGCAAAGCTTCATGGTCTTCGGTGGTGCAGGATCAGGGCCTTAACCCTTACTTTAAGGACTTAATTTAGGCTTAAGTGAGCTGCTTAGGCCCTTTGTTAGTGTAACTGCCACAAGGAGAACTTGAACCTGGAGCTGAGTATAGGAGCCTCTACCCTCTGAGCTAAAAGCCAGCTGGCTCCCAGACCATGTTGTAGAGGTCTCTTGGTCTTAACTGTTGCTGTGGTCTGGGTACCACCTGCATTGCTCAGTAACCACACTTGGTGTGTGGGTTACATTAGCCCTTTACACAGAGGTGAATTTCACTCTCTCTATAAATCTATTCCATCTGTTCATACACACACTTAGGGCTTGTCTTCACTTACCTCGAGATTTAAACCGACTGTTGATGGCATCCCCGTCAATCTTGGTACTTCACCCGGTTGCAAGGAGTAAGGGAAGTCGATGGGAAAAGCTCTTCTATTGGCCTCTCACAGTGGGAACACAGTGGAAATTCAACCTAAGGTACATCTGCTCCAGCTAAACTAGTCTTGTAGCTGGAATTGCGTCTCTTAAGTCCACTTTCTCCAGTAGAGTAGACGTGGCTTTACTTGGGAATGCAATGTTGCATGCTGGAATGGAGCACTAAGCACTCCATGGAGCACTTAAACTATGAACTGCATCTATTGCTAATTGAATCTATCTCGATTAATCTGTGATTTATACCATTTTATTGAAATCTCTATAAACTACATTACAGTTGTTATAGCCTGATGGGGGAGAAGGAATGGCCAAATGGCCAAATTGATTATTTTGTTTTAAATCCACTCTTTACATAGGAAGTTTAAGCAAAGAAGTAGCTCTTATTTTACAGATTGCAAACCTAAAAGAATTGTACACAAGTGCCCCCTGCTGGCTCTGCAGCAGCACTGAACTAATATATTGTTCCCAAATGTAGTACAAATGTGCTAAACCCTGGGTTAAAAAAATCCCATGAGAATTCGTGAAACATTTTTCACTAATTTGGTTCCTGTGATTTCATCTCATCTGCCCTGAATTACAATTTTTGAATGAAATTCTCTCTTGCATCACCTCTGCCTTATAAAACAGTTTCACGCTTCTTTCATTTTATGCATGAAGCTGCTTCTCTGTGGTGATTTCATTAATTGAGAAAAATGTCAAATTTTGTGGTGGAGGGAATCAAACTCCTCTTTGCTATCAGTATTTTCCTAAGCTCTGGTATGAACATTTCTCAGACCTCATCAAAGACATACATGCCAATATATACAGATAGAAAGCCAGACAGGTTTGTCCCCAATGTTTGCCAAGCAAAAGAAGGGAAATCAAGTCCATGAGGAGTTGTCAGAAAAGGCAAGAATTGGCTTTCAGTTTTCATCCCTGGTCTCCTGCTGTTGAATGTTTGCTTGGGATCCCTTGTAAAAGTCGTTTCAAAATGTAATTGCGTAACTGCTAAAAATCCTAGTGGTTACCTGGTTACAATACTGCGCAACCCACAGCAAAAGCCTCCTCAGGAGCAGGCCCAACAGCCCCTGCCAGCCCTGCTCCCAGGAAGCCAGCATGTAACCTGCTGTGGGGATGGGGATGAGAGCAGGTCCGCCATGGACAGGGGCTGCTCCGGGCAGCTAGAGCAGCCCCTGCCTGCGGTGGCCTTGTTGAACTGAATCAGCGCCCTGCCCGGGATGGGTGGGAAGCTGCTCCAGCCTCTACCAGTTAACCAGAACTGTTAACAATGAGATTTACCAGTTAAATGGTCAACCATTTACAACCCTACTCCCTTGCAATCAACTCCTTCTTAGGCTCAGCGTGCCCCATAAACAACAACTCTGGTTCTCTGGTGCCATCATCAGTCTGCTGCCAAGATGGATGCAAAAGCTTCTGAAGAGCAGCTGGGAACAGATTGTGGCACACCATGAAAATAACCTCGAGAACCCTTGGTTATGAAAGATGGATCTCTAGTGTCTTTGCTTTTTAGCTACCTTTATCACTACATTCATCACACTGAGGTACAATATATTCCTTTTAAAGGTGGGTTTAGCCTCACCAAGTGGAATGCTTCGTGGGAGTGCTGGAAACTCAGCAGCATGTACAGCAGAACGGACAGTGCTCCCTCCCTCACAATGGGGTACAGCAACTTGGAAAAGACCTGTGGAGAGAAAAGCACAGAAATGCAAGGTGCACACACTACCACATTACACCTGGAGGCCTTATTGAGATTGGTGGAAACACTTTCTGCATGAAAACTCTGCTCCTATAAACCAAGTAGAGTGAGGCCTGGTTGGTGTGTGGATGGGGAAAGAATCATGGGATACAACTTCAGACAGTGTTGGGTCTGATAACAGCAGAGGAAGAAGGACATTCTCGAGGCACAGGCCAAGATGAGGGATATTCCCAGTTTGGGGATGATGAAGGAACACAACCCAGACTGAGCCCTCACTGGGCTCACAGTCCCTGCCCTGAATTGCTGACAATCTAACTGGACATGATATGTACACGCCTCCCCACCAATGCAATCCTAATCCTAGTTAATCACGGTGTAAAGAATTGGGGGGGTCAGAGAGAGAGTCTGTCCTGCATTCACTACGCAGTGACAGCTCCTGTCTTGCCAAAACAGGCCTGGGTTGCAGAGTCACCATGACAGGAGGGAGGCAGGGCCAAATTTGAGTGAGTAGTATTGCGACCAATGCGAAGCGCTGGGTGGGCCAAACCTGAGTGACGCTGTGATTGTGTGCGTCAGGCCTCAGTATCTGGAGAGGAGACGGGGCTCAGCCCCATAGGACAGATGCCATTGCTGTCAGGTGAGTGCCGAGCAGACTCACTGCCCAAATCCCACCCCACAGCCTCCCGCGTGCGCAGGGCCAGAAGTGAATGTTTGCCTAGGCCAGTGCCCAAGTGATGGGTTAATCTAGCCCTGGATGTGGCAACCTTCCCATGACCCACTGTTTGGGAAATATTGTCACAGGGAGTCTGTGATAGAGCCATGAATGCAACTCAGAGCTCCTGGCTAACCCACAAGACCCCCTGCTTCTCTACAGGCCAGGAGCTGCAGAGCAGAAGGCTCTTGGACCAGCAGAGACCAGTGTCAGGGGAGGGATGAAAACAGAGACCAGGCCCAGGTGGGAGACTGGAGGGTTTTAAAAACCAAACCAGCGGTTCTGACATGGAGACCGTTCTGCACTGAGGGTGGGAAGCAGCAGCACGGCGAGCCAAACACTGCGGAGCCCGTGAGAGGAGATGACGGCACAAATGGTGACTGCAGCCCAGGTGGAACGAAAGGCAGCTTCCAGAGCAGAAATCTCATTAGTGTCTCTCCCAGCTCATCTCCCTGGGCACAGTCATTCAACACTGCTGCCAGAGGAAAAAGCTCCTGTTCCCTGCACCCTCCTGATTCCTATTCCCAGGAGAGCAATTCTTGAAGCCAAGTTGCAGCGTATTTATAGCAGAAACAGCCTTGCCAGCTCAGCCGGCTTAGTCCCAAGTGCTCTGAGTCCTCTCGTTCGGCTCAGTGGTGGCACAGCAAAGAGGACAGAGCAGTGGGAAGAGATCAGTCTGTTTATTGAAGGAAGGAAGGAAGGAAGGAAGGAAGGAAGGAAGGAAGGATGTACTAGGGCACTGCAGAGAGACCCTGCAATGCTGAAGATCACAGAGAGGAGAGCAGTACAGGGCAGTAGATGGGAAAGTTATCTGTGTTGCACATGTGTAAGGGGCCTCACACAGTGCCTTGTCAGGACCTAGACTGGACCGTAACTAAGTGGTTTTTTCCCTTGAAAGCTTATGCCCAAATAATTCTGTTAGTCTTTCAGGTGCCACAGGACTCCTGGTTGTTTTTGCAGACACAGACTAACTTGGGGTATGTCTACACTACCCCGCTAGTTTGAACTAGCAGGGTAATGTAGGCATACCGCACTTGCAAATGAAGCCCGGGATTTGAATTTCCCGGGCTTCATTTGCATAAGCCGGGTGCCGCCATTTTTAAATCCCGGCTAGTTCGAACCCCGTGCTGCGCGGCTACACGCGGCACGAAGTAGCTAGTTCGGATTAGGCTTCCTAATCCGAACTAGCTGTACTCCTCATTCCACGAGGAGTACAGCTAGTTCGGATTAGAAGCCTAATCCGAACTAGCTACTTCGTGCCGCGTGGCTACACACGGCACGGGGTTCGAACTAGCCGGGATTTAAAAATGGCGGCGCCCGGCTTATGCAAATGAAGCCTGGGAAATTCAAATCCCGGGCTTCATTTGCAAGTGCGGTATGCCTACATTACCCTGCTAGTTCGAATTAGGAGGGTAGTGTAGACATACCCTTGGCAACCCCTCTGAGACTGGAGGGAAAGAAGAACAAAAGCAGCCACAAGAGAAATAATACTCCTCTGCCATTCTTGGTTTGATGCATTCAAGAGGTACTTGCAGTTCACAGTAACACTTTTATAGTACCTTCCATGGCTGAGTCACAAGGTAATTAAGTATTATCTCCCATTTATAGACTGAGGCAGAGAGATGCAGGGGCAATATGTTCTTATGTGGCTGCTGATTTTGGGTACCCAGCTTGAGACATTCCGTGCCTGATTTTCATACTGTGCAGGGCATCCCCAACAACACCTGAAGTCAATGGGAACTACGGATGCTCAGCACCTCTGAAAATCAGATCTTAGATGTCTCAAGTTGAGCCCTCCAGCAGTGAGGCATCTGAAATTCACAGTCACTTTAGTTGTGGCTGCAATTGACGTGTCTGAGGCAATAGCAGTGATAATTAGGCGAAAAACATCTGACTCCCAGTCTCCTGCTCTAACCATTAGGAAGCTCTGTCTCCCACTACTAGATGTCCTCCCACATGTCTATATGTCCTTCTAAGGATGCCTCCATAGCTAGCTAGAAACCTTAGAGTCTACCAGTTCTATAGGTTGGCACAAACTGCAGTGGGCACAAATCACTAGGGATTACCCCTGCATAGCTCCAAAACACAAAATACAGTAAAACTCCAATAGTCCGGCATCCAATAGTCCGGCACTCCTGATAGTCCAGCATCAAAATGGCAAGAGCCTAGTGAGTGAGCTTCGGCAAAAAATGAGTAACAAGGTAACAGCGGCAGCAGCTGAACTGAACAAAAAGGGGAAAAAGGGCTTAAAAAACTAAAACATTACAGTATACTGTATACAGTATGTACAATAAAAAGGGTTAAGAACACTTTATATACAGTATATAATGTATACAGTATATATGTAACCTGCTTATAGTACCTCCTGATAGTCCGGCATATTTGATAATCCGGCACCACCTAAGTCCCATAGGTTCCGGATTATCGGAAGTCTACTGTATCCAATTCTGTGGTGACTCTTTTAATCACCCAGTTGCAGCATTAAAGTTAATGTACGTCTCAGTCAAATGTGGTTGAAAGGCAGAACAGTTCTAAAAGGGAAGAGGGAACTCTTGCTGCAGCCGTGTCTGAAGGGCACACTGACCTTTTCAATTTTCAGAAGAGTGACTTCAATCAAGATGCTGAACTTTTTCACTGCAGCCAAACCCTTCAGTAGCGCAATGATCCATTTGTCTATGTTCTTCCCTAGGGGCCAAGAGACCCAGTCAATCATCCTGCAATGGAAAACAAATATGTGCAATCGTGACTTAACAGATCTTACTATATATTTTAGAAACTTTGTGCATCTATCTGTCTCTACACCTGGGAATCTGTTTGTTCAAGAACTCCTTCTAAATAGGAAGAGCTAGGGCCACCACACTTGGTACACAGTTTCCTCTTATCATAACTTGAAGCAAGGTCAAGGTTGTGCCAGGATAATGGGATGTGGCGTGGAACGTGATTGTTTCCTCTCAAGCAGAAAGGGAAGGGTGTGATAGCAGGGACAGTTTTAACCCAGAATGACCACAGGGGGCAGAAAGCGCCCCACCCCCAGGGAGAAGCTGCTGACTGGCAGCATGGCCCACGCCACGCAGGGCTGCCCTTAGGGAGAAGCCAACAACTACTGCGGAGAAACCACTGGCTGGGCTGCATGGCCCACCTGTACCCCAGATGGGCCCCAGGGAGAAGCTGCTGGCTGGGCCACATGCCTCCCCCCCCCCCCCCGGCTCCGGGTGCATGGCCCCTGCCACCCCAGGCTGGACCTGGATAGAAGCTGGTGGCCACCTTCTGCTCTGAGCTCCCCACCCCCTGCTCTGACTCCTGCACTGCCACCCCTTGCCCTGAGCCCTTCCTCACCCCCAACACTGTCTCCCACACCCCCCACACTCCAAGCCTCCTGCCTTGAGCCTCCCAAGCTCCTGCCCTGGCCTGCACCCATGGCCCCTGCCACCCCAGGCTGGACCTGGATAGAAGCTGGTGGCCACCTTCTGCTCTGAGCTCCCCACCCCCTGCTCTGACTCCTGCACTGCCACCCCTTGCCCTGAGCCCTTCCTCACCCCCAACACTGTCTCCCACACCCCCCACACTCCAAGCCTCCTGCCTTGAGCCTCCCAAGCTCCTGCCCTGGCCTGCACCCCCACATCCTGAAGGGCCCGAGCAATGCTGGGTAAGTCTTTTAGTGAATTATAAAATTCATGATGTCCTGGAAATCCCTGTCCCCTCCAAAATCCTTCCATGAGCTTGGGACAATCCAAGAAGAAACTGCACCCCACAGAAACCGTCCCAGGGATTACACCAAGGCCGGGACAGCTGGATTAGAATGTTGGTAAGTCGGTCAGCACTACATAGCTATTACGAAGGCCTGATCTAAACCTATTAAAACAGATGGAGAGTCTGTTCACTGGTGAGTGCAGAGAATAATAGAACCGTGGGGTTCAAAGGGATTGGCAGGGCCATCTAATCTAGCCTCATGCCAAGATGCAGGATTTGATGGGTCTAAACCAGAGGTTCTCAAACTGTGGGTCAGGACCCCATTTTAATGGGGATGGTTTAGACTTGCTAGGGCACAGGACAAAAGACAAAGCCCAAGCCCCACCACTCAAGGCTGAAACCCTTAGGCTTTTGCTTTGGCCCCCCCACCTCATGCAACGGGGCTTCGGCAGGCTCAGGCTTCCTGGGCTCGTGGAGTAATTATTTTTTGGTCAGAAGGAGGTTGCAGTGCATTGAAGTTTTGAGAGCCCCTGGTCGAGACCATCCAAGACAGATGGCTCTCCAGCCTCCTTTTGAAAACCTCCAGGGACAGAATATGCATGACTTTCCACGGCAGTTTGTTCCATCATCCTGCAGTCCTACCAGTCAGGGACATAGACGCAGACTTCATGGGTGCTCTGGGGCTGGAGCACCTCTGGCAAAAAATACTGAGTGCTCAGTACCCTCTGGCGGCCCCCCACATCTGCTTCTCCTCCTCCTCCCTCCCAGCACCTCCCACCAGTCACAATCAGCTGCTCAGTGATGTTGACAAGGCTCTGGAGGGAGGAGGAGGAATGAGGGCACAGTGCACTCATGGGAGGGGGCAGAATGGGGCAAGAAGAGGAGGAACAGGAAGGGGTTGAGGGGTGGGGCTCTGGAGAAGGGTTGGAGTGGGGCCAGGGCCTTGGGCAGAACAGGTGCTGAGTATCCCCCAGCAATTCATAAAGAAGTTAGGGTACGTCTACACTACAACGTTAATTCGAACTAACATAGTTCGAATTAGTTAATTCGAACTAAGCTAATTCGAACTAACGCGTCTAGAACTAAAAACTAGTTCGAATTAGCATTTTGCTAATTCGAACTAGCAAGTCCACATTGAGTGGACCCTGAACAGGGCTTAAGGATGGCCGGAAGCAGTGCCGGCAGGGCATCAGAGGAGGACTTAGAGCGTGGAGATGCTGTGTCAGGCTAGCCGAGGGCTGCGCTTAAAGGGTCCCGACCCCCACCCCGGACAGACAGTTCTCAGGGGTGCCCCGCTTGCCAAGCAGTCCTGGCTTGGAGTGCCCTGAGTGCCCACACTGGGCACATCACACCACTCGGCCATCAGCCTGGCTGCACTTGCCGCAGGCTGCCATCTGGGGAGATGGGGCAATTGGGGGGCTGCAGGAGAGCTTCCACCCCCAGAAGCCCGCAGAGCCAGCCCAGTCCTCCCCATCGGGGGCTCGCACCCCATTCCTCCCTCACCTCCTTCCACTTACCCTTCCCTAGCCCCCCTTCTTATTGATGTACAAAATAAAGATAACGTTTCTTCCAACATTGACTCTGTCTTTATTGAACAAAACTGGGGGAGACTGGGAAAAGGAGGTGGGAGAGGGTAAGAGAAAGGCTGGGAGAGGGGAAGGCAACTAACATGATCAGGGGTTGGGAACAGGTCCCAGATGAAGAGAGGCTACAGAGACTGGGGCTGTTCAGCTAAGAAAAGAGGAGACGGAGCGGGGACAGGATAGAGGTCTCTAAAAGCAGGGGTTGGGTGGAGAGGGTGCATTCAGAAAAGTTCTTCATGAGTTCCCATCAAGAAGGACTAGAGGACACCAAAGGAAAGGAATGGGTAGCAGGCTTCAAACTAGTAAGAGAAAGTTGTTCTTCTTGAGAAAGCAAATAGTTAACCTGCGGAACTCCTTGCTGCAGGAGGCTGTGAAGGCTACAACTACAACAGAGTTGAAAGGGAAGTGAGATCAAGTCATGGAGGTTGGGTCCATGGAGTAGTCTTAGCCAGGGGGTAGGAGTGGTGTCCCTGCCCAAAGTTTGTGGAAGGCTGGAGAGGGATGGCATGAGACAAATGGCTTGGGCACTGTCTTCGGTCCATCCCCTCCAGGATCCCTAGGGTTGGCCGCTGTCGGCAGACAGGCTACTGGGCTAGATGGACCTTTGGTCTGACCCAGGACGGCCATTGTAAGCTCAGGGCTCAGGGTCGGGGGTCTCAGTGGACCCCCTTGATTTTCATGCACACCTGCTCCTGGGTGGCCAGGCTGGCAGCTCTCCTGCCCTAGACGGCCACTTTCCTGTGCCTAGTGCGGAGATCGTGGACGAGGTCCACGATGTCCGCACTAGCCCAGGAAGGTGCCCGCCTCTTGCAGTCCTGGGCAAGCTCCCGGGAGCCGCCAGCCTGGTCCCGGGAAGAGGCGGTGGGCTGGGGGACATCGGGTGGGTGGCTCTGTGCCATGCCAGGTGCAGGGTCTGCTGGCTGGGTGCTGGCAGGCTTGCACCTGGCACGGGCACCGTAGCCAGCCCGTGCCCCTTTAAGGGGTCCAGGGCCGGGAGGGGGGCATAGAGTTTCCCTGGTGTTGGCCAGAGTGGCCACCAGGGAAAGCTGGGGAGGGCTAGCCTCCCACTAGTTCGAATTAAGGGGCTACACACCCCTTAATTCGAACTAGTAAGTTCGAACTAGGCTTAATCCTCGTAAAATGAGGTTTTCCTAGTTTGAACTAAGCGCTCCGCTAGTTCGATTCAAATTCGAACGAGCGGAGCGCTAGTGTAGCGGCTATGAATGTTAGTTCGAACTAACGTCCGTTAGTTCGAACTAACATTGTAGTGTAGACATACCCTTAGGATGTTTTTCATGAGCTGGGTTTCAATGGGTTTAGGATCAGCTTTCGGGCTTGGTAAAAATTTGATTATTTGTATTATAATGTTAACAGAAAATATCAATATGTATCTTGCAGCATTTTTTTCTATTTTACACGTGGGCTTAGACTCTCATTATATAATGGCAGTATCTGTTGGGATTCAAAAAGTTAAAAGCTTTACAATGGTTAGTGTTAAAACACCAATGGCCAACATCACACGTCAAAGTATACAGGGCGAGTATCCTTAACTCAAATACTAACAAATTCTCAAGCAGCATTTTTCTTGGTTTGCCTGTTTGTAAATTTTCAATGGAAATGTTTTCTCGTCGTTTGTGTGTGATCATGAAACCATCTCAGGATCAATGAGCTTTCAGCCAATCACAGGCAGATCTTCAACAGATCCCTGTATAGCAGTGGTCACCAACCAGTGGATTGGGATCTACTGGGAGATCTTGGAGCCTCTGACAGGCAATCCTGACTGGTTTGGCCAACAGGCTATCAAGTGCCTGCACTTCAGCTGTCCCTCCCCCCCACTGCTGCTTATCTCTTGCCCTTTGCCTTGGAGCTCTCCCCTCGGAAGCCTTCATTTGCATAATCACGTAATGGCACTCTTTCGGAAAAGCACTATTTTAAAATTGAAACCACAGTCTAGACGCGGTTCTTTTGAAAACGGGGCGCTTCTTCGAAGGATCCTGTAAACCTCATTTTGAAAGTGCCCCAGAGCACCCAACTGAATCTAGACTGCGGTTTCAATTTCAAAATAGTGCTTTTTTGAAAGAGCACCATTATATGATTATGCAAATGAAGTGTGGGATATTTAAATCCTGGCTTCATTTGCACTTTCGAAGTGCTTCATTTACATTCCTCTGCCGACAGAGAGATGTAGTCTAGACATACCCCATGCGTCTGTGGTCCTGAAATGAATTTTTTTTAAATTTTCCACAAACTAGAAATTCCAAATTTCAGCCAGCTCTACCTCCACCTAGCTCTTAGATAGCCCTTTTCATCGGTAGATCTCAAAGTACTTTACAAAGGAAGTCAGCATTGTGATCTTCATTTTACAGATGGATTAAATACAGTGCCACTGAAATGCAGCCACACAGAAATACTTATGTGGACAGAGAGATATAAATAATCCACTGAACTGTACTGTATAACCAGAGGAGCAAAAGCCCTGAGAAATACTAAAGTTCCAAGGACAATTTTTATTAGAGGTATCTGTCTCCAGTGTCCTTGACCAAAATATCTCATTCCTCACTCTCCCCATAGCTGGTTGTACTGTGTGCTATCTACCTTTCCACCCAGAAGTGGCTGCTTTCACCCATCACGGAATGAATTTTCTATGTATGTAGTTTTTAAAGCATTCTGAGATTAAAGAAGCTATATACACATGTAAACTATTACTATATTTGCTATGTGTCATGCTAGATGGTTCCACACACAAAAATAAAACTCCTTTATGTGACTTTCAAAGTAATTCCATGTCGAAGAAAGAATGATGTTAATATAGCTGTCTGGAGCACCATGCGTTTATGAACACTCCACCAAAACTTCCGCCTGGCTCCTGAGTGAGCCTAATTACATTTCATGAGCTCTGCTTAATGTTTCAGTAGCAATGAGTAATCATTCATCGTAACAGAGGATTTTAAAGGAAAGAGGCAATTGATTTTGAGACGGCTATTTTTGGAAGCTGGAGCTCTTAGTGAAATTATCGACTGGCATGCACAACAGCCTCTGGGATTAGCTCCCCGGGAGAAAAAAAAAGAATTGGAAACTGCACTGCAATACAAATGCGTTTGGACTCGGATCACTTTAGACTGTATGAAAACAAGCCCCACCCCAGCAAGACAAAGAGAATGTTGTGCTGGTGAAAAGGGTGCATATGCAGAAACCTCTGATTTATTTACAATCCAGGTATAACAGCTATGCCAATGAATAGGGCTAGCTCTCCACATCTGGCCTAGGATGGGGTGGACACACCCGGCACTAAAACAGGGAAGGGGTTAATGCTCTGTATAGGGAGCCAGGGAGCAAACCAGCTCCACTTGAGGGAACCAGGTCAGCCTGCCCTTTATGGAGGTGTGTTTGTACTCAGCTCATGATAGCCTAAAGGATAAGTGGGGTATAAGTATCAAAGGAAAGCAGGAAGTGGCCAGGTTGAAGAGCTCATAGGATGAAGACTGTCCTAGGCCAAGCCTGCTCAGAACTCTGGGAGAGGGAGGAGTTTTGGGACTTGGACACAGGCTGCAGAGGAGGCTGGTGCCCCCATAAGAGGAGACTATCCCAAGCATGACCTTGAAGGCCCACCTCTAGAACAGCAGATGTTCATTCAGCCCTGTCAGCTGCCCCTGTTGTCTAGCTCTCCTGGCTGCTTAGCAGCTGGCTCTTTAAACCCTTGTTCCTCTTGAGTAGCCCCGCCCTATGGTTAATGGGTGCTACAATGATTAGGGATCAAAGCCTCCACCGCTCATTCACTCCTTGCCATCTCCATTGAGTCAGCTAACAAGGGGCTTATGTGATTCCAAGATCTGCACCGAGACCATCACACTCATTTTACATAGGCCAATCACCATCTGATGGCAACTAATTTCCACCTCACCAAGGTAGGGCATGTTTGAACCACTGTCCTGCAGGAAGAAAAGATTCTCTGGCTTTTTACTCATCCATTCCTCCTTCATTCACTACTGGAGCAACCAAAAGAGACAGCTGTGCCTTGGAGGATAGAAGATATACTTGAATGGCTAAACCTTACCATGTAATCAGCAAACTAGAGGTTAAAATCATGTCCCAAGCAACACAGAGGGAAGTTCTACTCTTTGTTATTTTGAGCCTTGGCTGCTGTAAGCCTTATGCTACATACAAACTTGGGCTGAAAGGGGGCTTGAATCTATTTCAGGAATAAACATCACCAAAAAGGCTGATTTTTCCCCTTTGTACAATTAGCTATTGAGCCACCCGGCCTGCAGATATTATAAGTGCTGCTGCAGAGCTGGGATACTGGGTGAATGCTGGACATCAATTAGGGTACGTCTAGACTACATGCCTCTGTCTAGACGTACCCTTAGAGAGAGAATCTGACAGACCAGATAAGCACACTTGAATGCAGGCTGGGGTCAGCAAAAAAGCCATGTGGAACTCATCTGCAGCCAGGAAATGGGAGACAGGACAACTTTGGTTTTCCTTCATAACCTCTCTCAAACTGGGCAATTCTAATGCATCCAACAGGGCGAGATGTGGGTGCTACAAGTCTCTAAACTATGTGGCCAACTGCTCTCTATACAGCCCACTGCCTTCCATAGTTTCTCATGCTCCAGGCTTTCTATGCATGCGGAACTTCCTGTTCTATGGTTAGAGAGAGAATCTGACAGACCAGATAAGCACACTTGAATGCAGGCTGGGGTCAGCAAAAAAGCCATGTGGAACTCATCTGCAGCCAGGAAATGGGAGACAGGACAACTTTGGTTTTCCTTCATAACCTCTCTCAAACTGGGCAATTCTAATGCATCCAACAGGGCGAGATGTGGGTGCTACAAGTCTCTAAACTATGTGGCCAACTGCTCTCTATACAGCCCACTGCCTTCCATAGTTTCTCATGCTCCAGGCTTTCTATGCATGCGGAACTTCCTGTTCTATGGTGACTGTCACAGGAGCTAGGGTAGAAGGCAGCTGCTGCTCCGGAAGCCGGTCAGTTGAGCCTTACTTGCTATAAACACCTGCTGCTGTGCTGCCCAGACCCTTTTCATAGCCCCAAAAGGGGAAAGAACTGAGTTAATTGTCACAGCCAGGGCTACATCACCAGTTAAATAAAGACCCAGTGAAAAACTACTGGCAGTGGCATTCATCTTGGATAAGATTTTCAGAAGTGCCTAGTACTTTTCAGTGACCATTTTGAGACACCTTAAAGGGACCTGTTTTTCAGAAGGCAGGTTCTCAGCACCTTCTGAAAATTAAGGCGTTTCAAGTAGGAAACCTAAAAATCACCAATACCTGTGGAAAACTTTGGTCCTTATTCCCAGAGTCCCAGCATGCTTTGAAGGTAGCAAGGAGGGACAGCAAAATTTTTCTGTCACTCAACCCCTCAGACCTCCAAACTAGAGCTGTACAGGATATCTGCTTAGAGTGTTCTGCTCCTTAGCCTGAGTCCTAGGATCCTTCCAGCACATTCAGCAATTGGTCCCGCCCACATCTCCTACCTACTGATGGCCATCATCATCTGCACATCCGTTATGCTGTCATCGTTGGTTAAGTTTCTTATGACACCGTCCATGAGCTCCAGTGGAACATACTGAACCACGCTGGCCAAGGCATTCGAGGGGGTTTCCTGCTCCTCTGTGAGATATTAGTAAGAATAGTTAGTGTTAAAGCTAACAGCCATTGAGAAATCCAGTTAATGTGATTGTGTTTCTACTGCAAAGGTTGAATCTTTTCTAGCCTCACAAAGGGCCAGCTCATCAGCCAGTGTAAAACAGCACAGTTCCACTGACTCAACACCGATCTGTTCTAGGATGGCAGTTCCTATGTTCTTAACAGCACACAAGGCATGGTCATAGCAGACACTCTGGTGTTTTGTGATGCATGCAGCTGAAAGAGAGGCAGGGACATATGCAAATGAATGTTAGCCTCTGGAGAGTGCTATTGCTTTTCTAACAACTGGCCAGTTGGTTCTGACCCCTAAAACTTATGCAAGTAAATTCGCTCTCTTTGCTCACTTTATATTAGTCAATCTCTATAACCCCCGGTGGGATGATTCTGGGTATTTTACAGCCCTGGGGCATGCCTCAAGGCACAAGACTAATGGTGAGGTTCCAAAGGCACTCAACACAGACAGGTGCCAACTCACACTGGAGTTTATAGGAGTGGAGAATAGGTATTTGACTGCCCATAGTGAGTCAGGAGAGTGTTCCCTACAAGCCGAGTGCTTGGGCAGCTACTCAGGAGAGATTCAAATGCCACCCAGCTGATTAACAAAATGCCCACAGCACCCACAGCTGGCAACATGTATTTCTACTGGTGGTGCACATCTGCACATACCTCGGTGCAAGTAACAACATTTATTCTACACATGGATAACAAAAATGAGAATGCACCCAGGTCAGGAGCCCTACTGACCTTTGAAATTCTCCACCAAGTGCTTTTGTAATAACTCAGTGAGGTCATATGCACCAGAGCAGTTACTTCTACCACATGGCTTAATGGACAACTTAGAGAGCAATGCGATTGGAATTTAGGTCTTCCTTTTCCTAAAGCCAGATAGCTTCAGCACTGAAAGCCTTATCTGTTTTATTACATTCCTGAAACACTGAATCTTTTAGAACCATTTAAAATGTAAGACATTCTAGTTTATTATTAGCCCATGCCTGAAAACACACTGTATTGTTTTTACCTGTCGAAGAAATGATCGTAAAAAGCTCCTTCAGGGATGGTAGAATAGAATTAGTCTGAGCTTTCCAGATCTTCTGCAGCAATCCGCTCACTTTGTTCACATGGTCCAGAAACTCCATGATGTCATCTTCTCCCTCCGAGATGCACTGGAACTGCCCAATGCACCGTATTAGCTGCTGGCAAAACAAAATCTGGTGCTTGCCGGTGGGGACACACTGAGGATGCTGGGATAAGAGCTTACAGATCTTCACACACTGCTTGGGCCCAGGTCGCTCGCAGACTTTGCGGAGCACTTCAATCCTCAACAGGCTGAAAATGTCACTAGCTGATGGGCTCTCCAAGATGAACTGCAGTCCCAAGTGAATGTAATCTAGCACATAAAAGCTCCTTTTCCCCGCAGGCCCATAACCTTCCTGGAGAAGACTCAGGAGGAATCGGACATTGAAGAACTCCTCAAACTCCTCCAGGTGGTAGTGACCATAAACTTCTAAAATCTCTTTGCCAATCTCTCTCTTAAACTTGGTGTCACCCATGAGATAGAGCTTGGTGGAGAGTTCTAGCATGGACCAGCACTGCTCACTGTCCATGGGCTGCTTTATTGCTTCTATGACGCGTCTCACTAGCCCTTGTTTCACGTTGTTGGGATATGAAGACATCATCACCGCTTCTAGTATCTTGTCCATCTCTGCTTTCAGACTCTGCAATAGTGTGAAACAACAGCACATTATATCAGCTACTACCTAGTTTTACTTTACTACCCAAAGCTACTGAGCACCCATTGGCTCCTGCTGGCTTCAGTGGGGCAGGGCTCAGCACTCAGGCCCACCAATGGGAGGAGGAGAGGGGGCAGTTGCCCCAGGGCCCCGCAATTCAAAGGGGTCTGGGGCTCCCAGCTGCTGCTGCTGCTACTGCAGCAGCAGTAGTGGTTGGGGCCCTGGGCCCTTTAAATTGCCGCTGGAGCACTGCACTGCGTGCTCTGTGCAGCTCTGAGCCATGCTCTAGGTGGCATGCAGTTCATTGTTTAGCGGGGGATGTGTGGAAGCACGAAATAACCCACCTTGCTGGCAGAGTAGCATGAAAGGGGACCTGCCCTGAAGCCTATACTGAGCCTGGAAAGTGAGACCAAGATATTTGAATCTGATGTGCAGTGCAATGGAGAAAGAGTGACTCTGTGAGGGTCTCAGTCCTGAACCGAGGGCCAGGCGTCTGCCACATCCTGGCCTCCACCCAAACATTGTAGAAACTGGGTGGACTGAGAAGCTACTTGGGCTATAGCTGAGGCACGACCTATGGAAGGCTCACTTGTGTCCACTGATTGGCTCAGCTATACTATTAAACAGAGTTGTTGACTCGAGTCCCACGACCTGAACTTGAGTCCGACTTAAGTCGCCTAAGTGACTCGACTTGAGACTCGACTCGGGTTCATTGTTTGTGACTTGAGACTCGACTTGAGACTTGTTAATTTTGTTAAATCGACTTGGTGAAAAAATTGTCTGAAAATGTCAATATTGATGGCTTGTACAAAAGTGACTTGCCATTTTTTAAATTAAGACTTGAGACTTGACTTGGGACTTAACTTGGAAGTGACTTTAGGATCTCAAGACTCGACTTGAGACTTGAACTGTAGTGACTTGAGACTCGACTTGGACTTGACAATGACGACTTGAAGACAACACTGCTGTTTAAGCCAGGAAGAGAATCAAGCTGTTTGCCTAAGCAATAAAGTGGTTTCCTGTTGTAGCTGCTCTGAACCCTGCTTGTGCCTGCCTTATGCCTGCCCTGGTTCCTGTTCCCACTGTGTTCCTGCTCTCTGCTTGATCCTGGCCTTTCCTCCTGTCCTTATGCCTTGCCTCCAATCCGGAATGACCAGTCCCAAATCTGACTTCTGACTCCAGCTTCGCCATTAGTTCCGGCATTTGGCACCTGACCTAGGCTCTGAGTCTCAGCTTTTATTCAAAGTTTGAACTCTGGTTCCACCCCTAGCACTGGGGCTGACCCCCGACTTTGTTCCCCAACCTGCATGCCTGCTCCACCCACTAGACTTGACTCCTTTTCTGACTACTAGGCTAGAATTTCTACATCCCAATCCATAACTACTCCAAGGGGAAGATGACATGGTTGAAGTGAATTGGTTTTGTGACAAAAATATTTTGGACATACAAGGATGGGGGAAGGGAGTGTCAGACGGCCTTAAGAGGAGAACATTGCAGCATTTGAGGTGAGGGTAACTAGGCTGTGACTCAGCCATTCATTGTGAGGCACAAAACCCCAAGACTTAGTTCTGTCCTGGCTGCACAGGGGCAAAGAAGCAGGAGCAATCAAAGAGAGCCCATGGCTACAGGATGAGATGAGAGGAAGAACAGAGGTGTTGTCAGCAATAATGGAGGAGGAGGAGGAGGTCATAGAAGGGAAGTTGAAGAGTTCAGCTTTGGCCGTGTGCAAGCTGAGAGGATGGCAACCCATCCAATGGAAGATGTGAGTGAGACACACGACTGAACAAGGTAAGATATGCTAAAGAAACAGAGATTGATGCTGTAGCTTTAAATACAACATCCTTGAATGCCTTTAAAAACTGAGCAAGCTGGCATTTTGAAAGCTACAGGGAGGTTTGTTCTTCCATTCTAATAACACCAATATGTGGGCTAGGAGATTAAAAACCACACACCTAGAATAAACAAAGCTTCCCACAAATGGTCACGAGTTTGTCCTTTAAATAAATGCAAGATAAAATACTGTGAGCCTGATCCTAAGAGAGGCTGTGTGCCCTCATCTGCCACTAGCCGCAATAGAACTCGGTGGGAATAGGGGTTATAAATATGGACTTGGAAGCAATTCTGTGGACTCAGCCTTTAATCAACACAGGACCAACAGATGTGTCTGCTCAGATGCTACAGTGATGGTGTGGCAGAAATGACTGGTCCCATTAAAGGGAGCTGGGGCCAGATTCACTTCTGGCATAATTAATTAGCTGCTTCCCAGCCTAAAGAGGCAGGATTATAGGGGGCTCTGATGCTATATTGATATTAGATGCACCTCATAAAAGGGCCTCAGACTGGTGTGGAAGGTCCTGTATTGGGGCTTGCAGGAAACTGTGCTCCAAGGGGAACCAGTGCTCTGTGCCAGAGTAGAGGAAAGCCCAGAAAGGGGCAGGCAGAGTTGTCCTATCCATGGGACAGTTCTGAGTGGCTGCCCCAGGCTCTGAGAGGCTCTGTGTCGGCTGCCTCAACAGTCCTGTGGACAAGACCTGTGGGGCCCAGGGCAGCCCAGGGGATTACCCGTCCTAGGGCCTGACTCAGGGCAACAGCGGTGGTCGGGCTCCCCAGCACTCACCATGGCAACGGGAGCCAGAAGGACTCAGAAGCCTGCTCCCCTCCACCCTGCTGCTCATCTCCTAGCCCACTGTACCCCACTTCACCAAGGAAGCAGAGGGCCCCATCATGGCCTCAGGGTGCTCTGCTTCCCACCACTGCAGTGAAAAGGAGAGCAATGGGCTAGGAGATGGGCGGCAGGGCAGAGCGGAGCACACTCACCATGGCAACGGGAGCCAGAAGGACTCAGAAGCCTGCTCCCCTCCACCCTGCTGCTCATCTCCTAGCCCACTGTACCCCACTTCACCAAGGAAGCAGAGGGCCCCATCATGGCCTCAGGGTGCTCTGCTTCCCACCACTGCAGTGAAAAGGAGAGCAATGGGCTAGGAGATGGGCGGCAGGGCAGAGCGGAGCAGGCGAGCGACTCGGCCCCGGGCCCGGCCTCAGCCTCTGGGGTGAAGCAGAGCGCCGTGGGCTGGAAGAGCAGCCTGCCGGGTCACTCCAGCTCCTGCTGCCATGGTGAGTGAGGGGGCCGACCCCTGCCTGGCCCTTCGGAAACCCCCCAGCTCATGTCACTTGGGGGAGGGGGCTTCAGGCAAGGAGAGCAATGGGAGTGGAGCAGGACTTGGGGGAAGGAGTAGAGTGGGTGTGAAGGGGGAGTAAAGCAGAGGCAGGGCAGAGGCAGGGCCTGTGGTGGTCACTAGAGGGTTGCCCTGGGCCCCTTAGGGTCAGCCATGGGATCTAGGAACAGGGTTCAGAGAGTGAACTGAACTTACACAAGCCCTGGAAGGGCAAAAGAACCCTTTTGTTGAGACTTTTTAGATGGACTTTTGCTAAGCTGGAAAGGGTTAAGTGTGACTAAAGGACTAAGTAATGGCACCAGCTCCAACCCTGCATGGGGAGGGGTGAGGAAAAATTGAGCTAGGGGGTTCCTGGAGAGGAAGGGGGGGTGCTAAAGGGCAGAGGTAGGCCCACAGATGGGGGAGACAAAGAGGGCAGTTGACCCGGGGCCTGTTGATTCAAATGGGCCCAGGGCTCTAGGCTGCTGCAACCACTACCACAGAAGCAGCAGCAGCAGCCGCCAGAGCCCACGAGAATGCTGCACAGCGTGCACCATGTGGCTGTGACAGCTGCATGTGGGCAACATCATGATGCGGTGCGCTACATGCTGTTCTGAGGGCTGGCTGTACCAACCCTGCCCCTTGTGCCTGAGGCCCCGCTCCCTCTGGGAGCATGGAGCCAGCCCCTCCCCATCTTGCTCAGGGGCCCAGCAAGTCTGTCGGCTTCCCTGGGCAGGTGTGCCCTATGACAAGGGAGCTACAAGAAGCAAAGATAAATAGATACACGGTTGTAGCCTGGCACCTGGATAGAGAGGAATTCATTTTCCTGGGCTGTCAGTGCTGCATCTGTCACACACCAAACTTAGTTAGAATACACACACACACACACACACACACAAAATTTACCATCCTCTAATTACAGAGCATGCTGTCTGAGGCTTTTGAGCTTCAGAGGGGTAGCAGAGTTAGTCTGTAACAGGAAAAGCTTAAAAAACAAATAGTCTAGTAGCACCTTAAAGACTAACAACACATGTGGATGGGATCATGAGCTTTCGTGGGCACAACCCACTTCTTCAGAGGAAAGGAGTAGTTAAGCTGTTTACGTTTAGATTCTTTGGCTTCCTCCTTCTCTACCTACCAATGTTTAGAGCCCTCCCTAGGTCTTGCTGGATTTACTTTCAATGATGTACATCAGCCTAGGATGAGAGCCTGCCCACCTTATGTGGGTTCTCTGTTTTTCATAGCTTTGCCAGCCAGCCCAGCCTTTACTGGAAGAGAATAATGCAAATCCTGGCTGCACATCAGGAAAACGCTGCGTTTTTGTGTTATACAGTCAAAGTGATGGGGAGACAGAGAGCGAGAGATGGAGACTGCAGCGTCAGGCGGAGTTTGCCATTTGTCACTGCCTGAACTCATCATTGATGGGATTAGAAGAGAGACCTGCTGAAAGAACAAGGATTTCACTAGAACAGTTCAGCACATTAAAGTCAAATTTATAGCCAACCACTGGTTGAAAACACTGAGCAGGAACCCCCATAAAAATATTGGTTCATAAAACAGCTAGATTGATTTTAAGAGGCAAAATTATTTCTACTACAGTGCCTTACTGCTACCTGTACACACAGTATGAGACAGTGCCCCAACTGCAGGTCTAGATAGACAAGACAGACAGTGGCTGGGAGAAAGGAAGAATTATCCTCACTTCCCAAGTGAAAAATTTAGATGTAATGTAGATACACTGACTTTCCCAAGGTCACAAAGGAAATATGTGGCAGAGCTGTGAATCTAGATTGTTTGTACCCCAGACCAACTGGAAGATAAGGATGTAAA